ACAAGTCAGCACTGTAAACGTGAGAAAAATTGCGCGTATTAACCTCGATTTTGGCAGTGACTAGGCCAGTTGAGTCTATTGGATCGTTTGATCTTTCATCGTTCAGAAATTGCTGGCTGCAAATCAAAGTGTTCGTCGTATAGGCTCCCAGGGGCTGACATCCTTCCCTAAACGGTCGATTAGGTTACAGAAACGTGCAAGAAGCAGGCAATTAGTTAAAAGAATATGTCTGCAGTATATATTCGCAGTTTGAGGGTGGTCATATACATTGCTCCTAAACCACGTGCTTCATAGCAACAATTTTTAATAATGAGATAAAATACAACAATGAAACAACACGGGCATATTGTATTCTTCCATTTTACACAAAAGAGGTACAAAAAACCCGTAGCTATCACCACTTGAAGAAACACAGGAAAAAAAACTTGAAGATTTCAGAATCACTTTTTTTATTTCACAGCTTATGTAAAGCTAATGTGCATTAATAACATACGTCAGCGCTTAAACTTCCCACATTTTCCAAAACCACGAAGTCATGGGCAGAGGCATTCAAAACGAGGGCGAATGTTCTGTCCAAAGTCGTATTAGTCGCAGCTGTCAGATTGTACAGCCAATAGGCGGATATCTGACGTGAGAGCACAGCGGACATTTTGCACCGAAGGTCGCATGCCAGGGCCGTGGATAGGAAGGCGGTGCAGCAGCATTCGCGCAAAACCTTTGGTTCAATCGGCGCTTTTAAATGCGAAGCATTTCTTAGCGAACTTCGGCGACTTTGACCGTGTCTATCTATCTATCTATCTATATATCTATCTATCTATCTATCTATCTATCTATCTCTCTCTCTCTCTCTCTCTCTCTATATATATATAATATATATATATATATATATATATATATATATATAAAACTTGGAATGGCATAGCATGACTGTATGAAGAACATATTTGACTATTCATAACGTGAAAATCGTGACATATGTGTCATGAATGTCATGATTTACATGTCTTGGTCCTGCAGCTCTTGCGGTAGTTTCGTTCACATGGCATGTTGCAAAACTGGTATGGTATGGCATGATTGCATGGCGAACACAAGCGACGGACCCTAACATGATAATCGTGACATGCGTGTCATGTAACAACATGACTACATGCCACGCTCATCATGCGGTCACGGCTGTTTCACTTGCGTCACATGTACAAAATTTGATATTACAGTCCGTGAATGGATGATGAAGGTATGTGACTGGTGCAAACATGATGATCATGAGATGCGGCTCATGTAACGACATGACTACATGTCATGCTCATGATGCGCTGGTGGCTGTTTCGCTAGCTTCATTTATACCTAATTTAGTATTACGGGACGTGAATGGATGACGAAGGTATCATACTAATGCAAACATGATAAGCATGAGATGCGTGCCATGAAACAACATGACTACATGCTACGCTCATGATGTGCTCGTGGCCGTTTCACTAGCTTCACATGTACCAAACTCGGTATTACGAGACACGAACGGACGACATAAGTAAATGACACATCCAAACATGATAATCATGATATGCCTGTCATGTAACAACATGACAACATGCCTCACTGGTGATGCGCTCACGGTCATTTTGTTATCTTCACATATGCCAAAGTTGGTATTACGTGACGCCAATGGATGACGAAGGTATGTGACTGGTTCAAACATGATAATCATGATATGCATGTCATGTGAGAACATGACTACATGCCACAGTCAAGGTGCCAATACATTTCGACGTGACGCGGCGCGCGTGCTCGCCGGCGTTCATTTCGTCACGTCACGCCGGCAATGCCACGCCAGGCGCCGGTCCTGCCATATACTCGCGGGCGCGCGCCGCGCTGCATTGCTTTCACGCATGCGCGTTTCAGCGCGTCCGGCGTCCCTCCATCCCGGAAAAATGAAGATGGAGTGTTGTCTGGGTAACGCATTGGCGGGAAATGCAGCATGTCGCATTTCACGCCGGTTGCCATCGGGCCGCGCCTTCGGACGCTGGTCGCGCCTGGTGTCAGACTATAGAGTGCTCGCGTTTGGCTAACGTTGCGTCGCTGTGCCCAGCGCGCGCGCGCGTCAGCGCGACATTAGAGCATATTGGTCCCTTGATGATGCGCTGGAGGCTGTTTTGCTAGCTCCAAATATACCAAATTTGGTGTTACGTGGTGTTGTTGGATGACGAAATATATGACTGGTGCTAACATGATAATCCTGACACACGTGTCATGTAAGAACATGACAACATACCACGCTCATAGCGCGCTCACCGCCGTTTTGCTAGGTCCACATATACTAAATTTGGTATCACGTGAGATGAATAGATGACGAAAAAAACGACACATCCAAACATGATAATCATGGCATGGAAGTCAATACGGCATCATTTACCTCCATATCGTAATGTTGTGCTGATTTTACGGTGACAAATCAACATTTCTCCTTCGTGCTTCGCATATCATCGATTCCTACTGTGCGTGGGATCTGCCAATTTTTCTGAAGGTGCTGTTACTTGCACTTGCTTTTAACGCATGGTAATTTCCCTAAATTGCGTCAGTGCAATGACTTCTTAATTGCTTGACTACACATGGTACAGCTTCGCATTATTCATTAATTAACAGTTTAAGGGGAGGCATCATGCCACATCGGTAACATGAACCTCGTGTATAATGTACTTTGTAAAATCTTGACGAGACGACCAACTGCAAAGG